ACAGCTGACGTGACCTTGAACAGAATGGCAGACTCACTAAGTGGAATTACACACTCAGGTCCAGCCATGAGAATGGGTCCACTTACTGTTAAGCTACATTCTCTCTCGGTTTTGCAATCTTCTGATAATCTTCCAGTAAATTCTCTTTCGATGAAGTGAGCTCAGATAAGTTCCTGTTATTAGAACAAAAGACTCCCAACTGATAAAATGGATTCCACTGTAAATTAAATTATTTTCTATTTGCTACAGGACGATGGAGGGCAGGTTTCTCATTGCTGGTGATGGGAGATACAAATACAGAATTGTGGAGGGAGTAGTGAGACCCTGTGGTACTAGGCTGGGATTGCAGATCTCAGTGTGGACTGAAGACTGTACATACACACTTTGTAGATCTCGCTGCCCTTTCAGCCCTGAATCACTCCCTGGTAGCAGTGGTTAAACCTTTGTGCCAAGATCTTGGTCTCTAGATCTGATGCCCCACTAAAAATAATCAAGGCTCCTTGGAAAAAAATGATAAGGGCAGGGAAAATACAGAAGAAGCCTGGCACATCTTTTGAGCCAGAAAGTTAGTAAGATCGCAGAGAATAATGGGGATGTGTCAAAATGACGCAGCTGCCAGTATGAAGGGTCTCCTCCTGTCTGGATCTGAGCTAATTTGAACATTAATATAGAATTAGTTTTGCGACCATCGTATGAATAATTGGTTCAGGTGGAGATCATCAATGGATGCTACAAATTGTGGGTAACAGTTTGATGAAAACTGGGAGTATTTACATAGTTTCAGTATATCTCGCCTTAAAAAGCTTACTAATTGTAGAGGGCAAACTAGTAACTTTAGAAATGGAGAAACCTGGCAGACACCACCGTCAGCATGTGATTCAAGATAACAGCACCAATAGCGGGACAAATGGACATTATGTGGCTCCTGATATGACGCACTGAGAAGAACATACTGTCATTTTGAGAGTAATCTGCTAAAAGCGCGTTACCTGACTCTAATCAAGAGGAAACACCAGACACATCCAAACGGAAGAACTTTCTACAAGGAAACTGACATGTAGTCTTTAAAAATGTCAAGGTCAAGAAAAATTCTGAGGAATAGTTTCTGATTAAAGAAAGCTAAAGAAACGTGAACTAAATATAATGTGGACTCCTGTATTAGATCCTAACCAGGGGGAAAAATGACTCTAATGGACATTTTTAGGACAGTTGGTAAAATTTGATTATAGAATGTGGAATAGCATTGTACTAGTGTGAAATGTCCTGAATTTGTTAATTATGTCAGAAAATGTCTTTTTTTCCCTTAGGAATCACACATGAAATATTTAGGGATAAAGGAGTATCATGTCTGCAACACACTGTCAAATGGCTCAGACAAATAGAGGAAAGAGAGTGATTGATAAAGCAAATGAGATCACATGTTAATTAGGGAATCCAGATAAAAGATCCTAACAGTTTGCTATGGCTGCTGTGACAGATTTCCACAGATTTAGTGGCGTGAGTCAGTTGGCTAGAAGTCTGGCACAGTGCGGCTGGTTTCTCTGTGCAGGGTCTCATCACTGGTAAAATCAAGGTATCATCAGGACAGCATGCCTTTATGGGGGTTCTGGGGAAGAACCCACTGCCAAGTGCCTCCAGGTTTCTGGCAGATCTCCATTTCCTTCACCTGTGGCTCCAGCCAGCCAGCATTGATGCTTTGGGTCCTCCTCATGTTTTAAATCTGATTTCCTCTTGTGCTTCATCCCTCTACTTGGAAGAACTCCTGTTGATAACATTAGGTCAGTGTGGGTAATCTTAGTAATCTTAATTACATCTGCTAAATCTCTTTTGACATGTAAGTAACATAACAAGACCATGGGTGTGATACCAGGGGCTGAAGTTCCTGGAAGCCAAACTTCTGTCTACCTCAGATTCATAGGAGGTTTTTTTTGTTTGTTTTTTTTGTTTTGCACTATTCCTGATACCTTCATCTAAATTTGAAACTACATTAAAACAAAATGTTACAAAGATTTATAAACATGGTACACAGAGCTGGAAAATGTAGTCATGGCATCGTTCATACTCTTGGTAGATTCATTTCTTACTAATAGCATTGGGTCTGTTTTTCTCCCTGAATGTCTACCAGGTCACCACCAAATCAAGCAAGGGACCTGTGAGGTGGTGGCTGTGCACAGGTGCTGTAACAAGAACCGCATAGAAGAGCGATCACAAACTGTCAAGTGTTCTTGCTTCCCAGGACAGGTTGCCGGCACAACTCGAGCCCAGCCTTCTTGTGTTGAAGGTAAGATCTTTCTGGTCAGGTTCCCCGGTGCTGTGAAAGGACTTTATGCCAAAGAACTTCCCTACTTTACTGTCTTTGCAACTAAAAAAACAAAAAC